CGTCGTCGTGATCTGGTGAGGGACTCGGAGGGTCCGAAGTAGCTCCAAGTTCGTCGTCAGCATCGTCTGGGCCAGCGATATCAATAGCACAAACGGTGGGGAAGGCACCCGCAAGCAAGCGCGATTTGAGGAGTCGGAGGCGCCGAACCTCAGTGCGCTCGGTCCGTTCCTCATCGCGGCAAGTGGAGCAGCTTCGGGGGCAGCGACTCATTTTCACCTCTTTCGTTTCCCAGTTGATCTCGGGGTTGTGTTTCTTGAGCCAGGAGTATCCGAGTATCAAATCCTGTTTCCCAAGGTGGGTTACAGCCAGCTGAACGCGTTCAGAGTGTCCGTTGTACCGTAGAACGAGGTCCGCGATTTGACGAATAGACCCAGCATCATTGGGGGTGCCGTCGACATTGTAGACCGGTATGGGTACTGAGAGATTTCGGACTGGCACGTTATTTCGGTTGACGTATTCTGTGTCGATAAAGTCCGAAGTGGCTCCGCAGTCGACCAGGCCTGACAGGGAGAGCTTGAGCGCGTTCGCAGTGGACTCAAGTTCGAGAGGAAGGTGGAGCGAGTTAACCCCAGGAGCGGCAGAGATGGTATAGCTGCCAGGTAGCTTTTTCTCCCAGGCAAGTTGGCGAATCCGAACGGGGGCTTCGGAGGGGGCAGAGGGTGCGTCTTTCGTTTCAGGCTCGTTGTAGGGCAAGGGAGTTGATTCATCATACAAACAAGTGAAACGATTTATGGACGCGAACGGGGGCACACCAGTCACTCGTCGCGGGGGACAAAATCCTCTGCCGGAGCCTCCGAATGCGCCTCCGCTAAGGCCGCGGTATCGGACAACCGCGCAAGCAGCTCTCCTAGCATCTCGTCGCCAAGTTGCTGGATTACCTCGTCAAGGATGTCCGCATGGCAAACATCGGCGGGGAGCGGACAATCCCGAGCCAAGTGGTTGGGGTCGCCACATCTGAAGCAGGCTCGACGAGGGGAACCCCGAGCCCTAGTATGATCCAACTCCATAGGACGGGAGCCGGAGGTACCGAGACGGGGGCGCGGGCCGCGGGTGGCGCTGGTGCAGCCACCGGGCGGATGGGGAACGCGAGGTCTTGCTCATTCTCCTCAACGAACCGAAGGCGAAACTCGGAGAGGAATAGGTTCCACCGAGGGAAGGGGAAAGGGGTTTTGCTTCCATGATGCTCTGCCCACTGCTGGGCAGGTCCCTCCGCCATAGAGGACATGGCGTAGTGGACGGCCTTTTCTTTGCTCAGCTCTCCGTTGACCACGAAGGCCTCCGGGGCAAGCCAGGCGTAAGTCCTGACCGTGTATATAGGAAGGCGCGGCCGCGTTTGCGATCTCTGTTAAACGCAAACGGGGGGTTTGGTCATAAGACCAGTTTTTGAGGCGACAGTAATGTCACCAAATAACGCATCCCCGTCGGGGGCATTCGGAGATGCCGAAGGCGGTTCGGGAGCTGCCGAAGGTGGTGCGGCAGCGGAAGCCTGGGAAGCAAGGTGGGTGAGGATGTTGGTGAGGTTGTCTAGTTTCGCCTCAAGTCCGTCCATGCGCACGTCAGCGTCCGGAGCAGCTCCGGTAGACATAGCGGTGATGAGGGTGGATGACGGGTGGGGAGACCGGAGATGAGACCGACACTACACAACTAAAACCCAACAACAAAACAACAAATAGTCGTTCTGTCTGAGCGATAACCGTATAACACCGTTCCAAACGTCCAACAACCACCAATAACCGTCTCCTAATAAGAGTGCAGAACCCTGGGAACAGAGCCTGTACACGGGTGTGCAAGGTTGTAGGGTAGATCGAATGAAATCTTGTTAAAGATTCGTTTTGTGGTTGTCCTTAAGCATACTATCGACGAAAACCCGCAATAGGAAAGCGCCAATATGATGCCCAGAACCGTTTATACTCGTTTGGATCAGGAACTAACTGCCTTAAACCCAAGGAGTCGTCTCAAGTCAGGAACTAACTGCCTTAAACTCTCGACCGCCAACCGAAACCAAGTGTACGCCAACCGAAACTCTTTTATACGGCAACCGGAACCCTCAACTCTTCGATCACAACGCCTTTTTACTTGAATGAAAGAGCTAGCAGGATGATATTGACAAGCTATATCCCCAGATGCACCTAGTAACGCGGGGCAATCCGTGAATCGCTCAAATACAGGACAGAGATATAAATACTAAAACAGAAAATGATAAGATTAGGTAAATCGCCACAACAGAATGATGGTCCATATGCATAATTTGTAAGGTATCGTTTCGCCATAAGGCCCAGAGTCGAAAATCCAGGTCTAGATGACCGGTAGCGCGTGTTTGGTGTCAATGACCTTTGTAAATCCTCCTTTATTGCGACTGTCTATGCGTTTTTGAACGGTCCACTAACCGTTGTTGTTATCGTCATGTTGCTCCACTTCCTAGCTTTCCATCGATACCCATAACTTGAGGCTAACCGCCAGACACCGTTAGGCAATTCTCTTAACGAGATAATCGCAATCTATTGTCGAGTTGTTTGGTTGGACGGTTGCGGGTTAAGGTCACCGCGATCTGCAGCCAAGCCCTCATTTCCACTGAGTCATGTTTCCCGTTTAACTGCACCTCCACATGTCCTTGTCCTTGCGTAAGTTCCGAAACCGCGTTCCAATACTGTCAGGGACTGATCCGTTCGAAGCCTGGTTGAACCTTCATCGGAGCGTTCTGAGTTCGAGTCCCAGCGCGTGCCAGACCGAATATGCCTTTTAGTTTACACTCCCTTTTGGTATATATAAAGGATTGGACGGATCCTCTACGTTGGTTGGGCTCTGCTGTTGTTTTTGGTTGTTGTAAGAGTCGTTCTGAACGGCCAGTTGCTATCAACAACGGTCAAGTCGAAACGCCTCCTCGCAGATATCTCCCTAACTGGCCATTCGGGACTCATGCCAGTTCCTAGACGTGCGCTGTACCCATGAAACGAACAAAAACAGTGGTTTTCTATGTGTGTTCCAAAATGCAGCTTATCAGCGGACGTAAAGACAACAAGAGCAGAGGAGGAGGGGTCAAGTGGCAGGGGCGGTGACGAGGGGGGTACGGACTTGTACTCCGAGCCTGAATCAGCGCCAAACCTGGCAATCTTGCCCGGTTAATCCCGTAGAGAGTTTCTTCTGCTGTAAGGGCAACCCTGGAGACTCCGACGAAAGCCTAGCAGGGGAGGATCCGAAGAGAAGAAACTCTAAGGGTCCGCCTGCTAGGGCGCCAACTATATACTGGTCGTCCGTAACTGCCGACGTAGAGCGCAGAAGGCCTGAGCGGCGTCGCAGGCTCTGTCCCAAGGTGATCGTTGGGAGGGTCTTGACAGATCAGTGATTGTGCGGGCGAAGGAGGCCGTGGACGATGGTCGGGGTGGGTCGGAGCGTCCGAGAGGGCGCCGGTCGGATGCGCCTCGGATGCGTTCGGAGGGTCCGAAGGAGGCCGAAGCGGGGGTTCCCCTGACACCCTGAAGCAGGCACTTACGGTACAGTACGGTGCCGTCCAGCCGTAATATGGCTACGGGGACGGCTTCCTGAGTCACACTATGTGACTCAGGCCAAAGTCTGCCTGCAAGTGACCGGGCTACGCCGGGTGGGGATGCCAAACACATCCCACAGTATTGGGCAGCTCATGTGGATGCAATGAGTGACTGGCTACCCTGGCAATGGTAGTGGGACTAGGGCCGGGCCCAAGCCCTGAAGCCCGGCCAAGCCAAGCCCTCGGAAGCCCGGCCCAGGCCCTGGGGTGGGGCTTGCCAGGGCCGGGGCCGGGGGCTCAGGCTTGGGGTCGCCGAAGCCCTCCTGTGTTAGGAGGTAGGGCCGGAGGGCTTCAGGCCCCAAGCCCTCGAAGCCCTGCCTTAGCCAAGCGCCGGGGCTTGGCTTCCTCCTAAGCCCGAGCCCTGGGAAGCCCGGCCCTAAAATAGGGCTTGGCAGGGCAGCCCTGCCCTAGACATCACTAGGCAATGGGTTGCCGGAGACTAACCGGGGGCCGATACCTTGCAGATCAGCCCTTTTCGGATCAATTTCATGGTTAGCCGAGCTTACACCATATGTCACCGTATACGGGACGGTCATTACGGTGTCACGGCCATCCCATCACCGTCCCGTATGCCCTACGGTACAGCTATGGCGCCTGTTAGCGTTTGGTGGCTTGGCGTGCGACGAGGCATGTGGCTGATGCTGATGAGACAGATTGTGGCCAGTATGGCCGGCGGTTGTCAGGCTAGAAGATAGGGCAGTAACGGGTAACGGTCTTTACGGTTTGCCTCTGTACTACTAGGAGGTGCAAACTACGACTATCTATGGGTCGGCTCTCACGTAAGCCATCAATCAGTCTCTCACATTTTGCTTCAGCAAGCGTTTGAGCTTATATGCGTCCCATATCGCGTTTCGGGGCCTCTGCCTGGTCACGGCCCGGTCCGAATGTGTTCCAGAGTGATTTTGGGGGTCAAAAGCACCCTTAAGCACCACTTCCAGCTCTTTTCCCCCTACCTACGCGTCCCGCCCTCGACAGCGCCGGCCTACAGCCCTATTTGATTTAGCATAAAACAAGGCCTCATTTTGGTATGATTGTGGCATAACAGACCTCTGACTTACTTACTATCAGGCCTGAAATCTTGAGTCTTGACACCGTCTGGCAGCAAATTTGAGCCAAAAAAAAGGTGCAAATTTTCCTCTCAAAAAGTGATTGTCCATTTTTGTACTTAGTAATTATACATATAATGCAGTATATTTACAAACTGCTGCAGTGCTTTGTATTATGATATAAATGGCTTCCAGAATAAGGGCATTTGCACAGACTCTTATTACCATGTATATTTGTGGGTCTCGTTGACCTGAGATTTTTGACAGAAACTTGAAGAGCTATATGTACAGTGAAACTTTCACTATCTGCTCGAGCTGCCTAGATTCATATCAGCCATAACTACCTCTAATACATGTCTGCAAATTCGTGCAACAAAGTCAATGACTCCCTTGAACTTTGTCAAGTTGGTTACAAATGGGGGATGTACACGCTCCAGTTTACATCTCTGAATGCAGCAGGGGGAAGCGCGCGGAGGGTCGTGAACGCGAGGAGCAGAAGCAGGACGCGGGCGACGCAGTACACGCCAAAGCATGCACTCAGGACCGCGGCCTCGCCGCGCCCCGGGTCGCCCGCGGGGACAAGCAGCGGCGGGTAGTCGCGGTCGTCGCTGTCGAGCACCCAGTCGAGGATGCGCGGGTGGAGGAACACGAGCAGCGGCGCTATGGCAATGACCAGTGCGGACACGCGCCAGACGAGCGTCTCCGGCGCCGCTGGGGAAGGGCACGAACCAGCCCGCGGTGTGGATCACGCCGAACAGCGACCCGCACGTGATCTCAAGCCCGACGGCCCCGCGGACGAGCTCGCGCGGCATGTCTTCGTCCCACGCGCACCACAGCGACGGCACGGAATGCGCGGACAGCGGCATGAACGACTGCTTGTCGTAGCTGCTAGATAAAAGATAAAAGAAGGAACATTCTGTTGAAGCTGGAGCGGGAGGCCCGTGGGGCGAGGCTGCCCGATGGGGGGCTCGTCGAGGGCCGCGCGGAGCCGGATTGGTTCCTGGACGTCTAGCGGCTTGCTCCACCAGAGAAGCCATGTCAGCGCATTGATACTTGCAAACGCGAGGGTGGCGACCTCGAGCTGGGACAGCGGAAGGCCCTGTGCGCGGGCGCACAATGCACTGCGTGATAAACCAGATGCCCTGGACGAGCGCAATGCCCTTCGAGAAGAGGTCCCCTTTGCTCTTGTCTTCTATGGTGTAGCTCGACACCCCGCGTATCTCCGCGAGAGCCGCAGGGTCGGAGAGCTGCTCGCAGGTGACGACTGGATGCTCGTTCGCGTCGGTGAAGCCGCCCATCCCGACGAAGAAGCCGTGCATGAGGGAAATATTGTACTCTGTTACATGGACCAGCATCAGTGAGCGAAGGCCGGCAAGCAAGTGCGCGTACTCGCCCTGAAGAAGCGCGCCACTAGCAGCTGCCGCGCCGCAAAGCCAAAAATGAGCTCCGGCGCGAGGAGGGCGACGAGCATAAGCTTGAGGCGCCGGATCAACGGGCCCTTGGTGTCAAAAAGGTGCCACTTGGCGCGGACGAGCAGTGCAGACCCCTCCGGTGGCGGCGGCGGTCTGGGGGCGGGACACTGTAGTATTTTATTCAATTCGGCACCCAAATTGGGTGTGACATCGGCGCCGAAATGAAATTTTCGGCGTCCGGCGGCTCCGAGTGTGACTGCCGAAAAATTTCGGCATATTACGGCGCGGCCCGCAGGGCCGCGCCACCCAAAAATGGTAAATCAGCCAAGGGAATTCGGCATCTGGGCTGTGGGGTGTGACCGCCGAAAAAATTTCGGCATTTTGAGGCCGGTGTGACGCGTGACCGCCGAACTGAATAAAATGCTACAGCATTCGGGTGCACGGAGACCCAGATGCACGCGAAGATGGTCGCGAGGCAGCCCCAGACGATGTCGAAAAGGCGCTGACAGTCGTTGATGTTGTCGCACACGTCGGGACTGGCGGTCGAGCGGGAGGCCAGCGGGAGGGAGAGGAGGAAGAGCATGTCGGCGTGTCGTGCGACGGACGCGGGAACGACCGTGTCAAGCGTGGATGCGGCGAGCGCTTATCGCAGGGCATGTGAGCAAGATCTGAATAAAGAAGTGAGAACAGATAGTATCACTCCATCTTTTTCGCGTAGAGGCCTACCGGTGGTGGTTCTCTGGAGAGAAGAAGATGACGTGGAATAAGTGTGTCAGAGTGACCAGATGTGACATTTCAATCAAATCAATTCGTCAACAAACCTTATTTCATTATTGCCGGCCGGCCCGGGCAGACAGCAGGCTAGACTCGTCTACGTAATTCTCCTGTCTTGTGAGTCTTGTTGGGATCCCTCACCCCATTCCCTTCAAGCCTTGTCTCCACTCGTAAAGCAGCTGCACAGATACTAGTATTGGGCCGGTCTTGCTCCAAGTTGTTTGCGTTCGTCAGAATTTCTACTGGGGGCAAGACTGGGGGGGGCATCACGCCTGTGAAAAATTACATCTATCACTGTTCACACGTCAAAGCCTTCTTTCCTTTTCCTCTCATCGCAACTCGCACAAGCGGTCGATCTCCCGCCGGAACTCATGGCAGCCATATTCACATACCCAACGCCCGCCCCTGCCAGAGTGTGCGTCCAATTGTGCACCACTGCTGTTGACGCACATCTGCAGCGCGTGACGGGCGGTCGCACACTCCACGGCGCTCCTCTGGTGCCGCCTGCAAATTCGCTGTCGGAGTCTAGACACGGGGCCGGAGCCGCTGTTGCATGCGTGGCTCGCACGGGCCGGAAGCCAGCCGCTCACACTCGTCCTGCGCGGCTTCCCGCCGCTGATGGTGGCCGATCTCGTGCGGCACTTCCCGAATGTGGTCAGTCTGGACTTTGACGGCATGCATGGACTGCCCTTCCCGAGCCTGACATCGCTTCCTGCAGCGTCAACGCCGAGCCGACGCTGCACTGGCTGCACACCCCGCACCTACACAGCCTCGACTCGACAACAGACGTGAGGGACATTCGCGAACTTCGTCGTTCCGCTCGGCGTGTGGGCCGACGCTTACGCACCTGACGCTACACATGGGCCGACACACGCCGGACGCCGACCTCTCGGCGCTTTTTCTGCGCCGTCCCGATGCTGACACATCTCGCCGTGCACGAGAACCGGTCGCGCCACATCAGGGGCCGCGGGCAGCCGGCCCTCCGCACGCTCGTCAGCAGGACCCCTGATAATAGGTGGGGGACCCATATATGGCGTTGGCCGTTTTTCTCCGGGACGCTCCGCGGCCGGTTCTTCTCCAGATACCACATGTGGCTTGGCTTTGGACCCAATTTTTCTCCGGACGCTTAATATGGCATATCCGGGCCGAAATCCATTCATATCCGGATCCCCAATTTGGCTCCGCCTGCGGCGGGCAGTCTTCTCCGGACCGCGTAACATGGGCAGGCCGGCCAGATGAGGTGCTTTTTCTCCGGATGATATAAGGGTTCCCCACCTATTATCAGGGGTCCTTCGTCAGCCCGGGCGTCCTCCCCGCGGCTCGCACGCCTCGCCATCAACACATGGCTTGCCGACCTCCGCTACTCCGTGCTTCTCGCGGTCCTCCAGCAGCGCCGCGGTCCTCACGGCCCGCTCGCCGCCGTCACGATGGAACTGTTCCAGGAGATCGACAGTCCCGACTTCTCGGATGCACGGCCCTTCTTGCCGAACGACGCCGGGATCGCGGAGCTGGAGCCATATGCGGCGGAGGGGCTCAGCATGTCGATATCGACGTATACTTATGGATCCGGCAGTGATGGGTGGCGGCCGAGAAGAGACTTTGGGATGGTGGCTGATCATGAACAGTGCTGCTTAGCATATTGAACGGTTGAACTTGAAGAAGAAGAGATGAATGCAAACTATTGATGAGAAAATGATAACACAGGAGGCGGGTGTGGGCATATGGAGGCACCATGATGGTGGGAGTATGGGAGACATACTGTAAAACAAGATTAGAGACAACTTAGGTAAAATACAGCTCAAAATATGATACAACTCTATATCAACTACAACTACACGTTTGTCAGATACAACTTCACCAATAACATATACAACTTGTCTGAGTACAACTTTCCAACATGAGACAACTTTTTTGAGAGCATGTACAACTTTGGGGGATACAACTTTTTGGAAGCATGTACAACTGCCAGAATCACAACTTTTCCAGAAACAACTTTTCATGTGGCCAAAGACAACTACAACTTCTAATAAGACATCTTTGGCCCTAATTCAGGTACAACTTTTTCCTGGGTGGGGCAACTTGAGTCTGGCTGTGACAAGTCCAACTTGGGCAAAGACAACCTGTCATTACATACAACTTTCACCTATAGTGCCCGCTTATCCCCTCTAGTTAGAGGGGCAAGGGGGGGGGGGGGTTCTCCCTCTAACTAGAGGGGTTTAACGCAATTGCCTATGCTTTCTTAAACTTCCTTGTGAGTGTTAGTGGACATCCTGCTCAGCGGAGGCCCAAGTCCTCAGAGGTTAGTGGACTCATCATGAGTGTTGGTGACACCACACTCGCGACTATCTTCCTCAGCCATCAAACCTCTTTCCAGCTGTGATCCCGACACTACCCGACCCCCGCCCACTGTCCCGATCTGATGGCGCATCAACAAGTCAAAGTTGTGCGCTTCATTTAGATAAGCCTAGATGTATCAATAAAAATTGAATATCTAAAATATTAAGGAAGATATAAGACTTTTGATCTAATGATCTGCGATCATAAAATCAAAATTGTAAAGAAGGTAATTCTAGCCAGTAATGTAAAGAAATCAAGTTGAAATTCATTCTCTCTAATAAAATATAGGCTTATGATGTATGTAATATGTTCACTGAGTTAGTGGACAACATATGTATATAGATAGGTATATAGGAAGTTTCTGGACATATATCCATACTATAGGTTATTATGACTATTCATATACCATATTGAAGCCCTTTCATAATGATTTCATTGAGCAGTTATCTACTAACTTTTCTAGACACAGGCTACAAGTTGGTAGACAGATGTCATATATAGTAGTAGGTAGGGTAGGTTCATATATGCTACTAAATGATCCGGATATTAGATACTAAATTTAACGAGGTATAATGAGATTATAGATTCTATAATGCCTTTCCCTCTCTAAAATACCATAGAAATAGCTACTGCCACTACTATGAGTATGCTTTCTTGAGTCTATAACTAACTCTATCACGCAGGCACTATATGTAGTAGCAGTTCATGAGATGTAGCATATCATAATATCTTCACTGAAGGTGTCCACTAACTTCCTAGATACAGAAGTTAGTGGACACCCCATCTATATTAATCAGTAGGTATAGGTTATGTACTCTACTAGATATCTTGGATATCATGTACAAGATGATATATGATGATGTACTATCCCCACTGTATCATAGTGGCCTAACTTGGCTAGTGTGTCCACTAACTTCCAGGGTACAGAAGTTAGTGGACACTCAACTCAGTATATTAATCAGTATGTACAGAGATACCCCTAGCAGATACCTTGAATATCATGTACATGATGATATATGATGGTGTACTATCCCCACTGTATTATAGTAGCCCAACTTGGCTACTGTGTCCACTAACTTCCAGGGTACAGAAGTTAGTGGACACTCAGTATATTAATTGGTCTATACTGGGGTATGTACCTGGCCAGATACTTGGTGTATAGGATAGTATATGGTTGTGTACTACGCTACTGTATCATAGTATCCCAACTGGAGGTGTCTACTAACTTCCTAGGTATGGTGTCCACTAACTTCTATACCTAGGAAGTTAGTGGACACCTCAGTATATTAATTGGTGTGTGGAGGGTGTGTACTTTACCACATACCTTGGTATACAATTGGTGTACAGGATGGTATATGGCTGTATACTACCCCACTGTATTATAGTATCCCAACTGGAGGTGTCCACTAACTTTAGTACCTAGTGTCCACTAACTTCCATACCCTAGAAGTTAGTGGACACCCAGTCTATATTAATTAGTATGTATAGGGTGTGTACTCTACCAAATATCTGGAATATGATGTACGGGATGATATATGGCGGTATACTCTCCCCACTGTATCATATGGCCCAACTCAGCTAGTGTGTCCACTAACTTCTATACCCCGGAAGTTAGTGGACACCGGCTGTATGCTTCAGGCTATATACATCTATTAAATCCTGTGAGTTTCTCCTGAGGATAAATATAGTATTGCTCACAATAACTTTTGAAAGTCAGTAGAACCAATTAGCAGTGCATAAATAATTCTGTAAAGCTCAAGATGTACTCTCAGGTTGGAAGTCCTAAGTGTATCATATACATCTAAGTCAATTGTGATTTTGTTGAGAAACCGGGCGCATGATTTTATTTGGAATTAGATTTGACCCAGTATTGCTCCTGTTATTGACCCATTGATGTGCAACGACATTTTTGTTAGTGGACGCCAAACTATTATTGGTGCATAAATAA